TTGCATCTGTCAGTTGCGAAAGGCTACACTGCTTGGATCCACACATATATTACATTGGTACATTATGCCATTCTTGCTTCTTGGGAATAACTCAATGCGAATAAAGGCCAATACCAGCTAAAGAAGTGGCAGCTGTTACAGGAATTGGGTATGTCTAGTCTAATCAAAGGAAGGACTCGGGGGCGGGGGGGGGGGCATGATAGCACTGTTCCACAAAGAAGAGTAGGTGAAGCTATTTTCCAAAGCACAGAAGGCAAGACAACAAACGATGGATGGAAACTAACCAAGGAGAGAGAAAACCTAGAACGAAGGAGAAATTTCCTAATGGAATAACTTGCCTTCAGACGTTGTGGGTACTCCATCACTGGAGGGTTCCAGAAAGAGATTGGACAACCATTTGTCTGAAATAGTACAGGGTCTCCTGCTTGAGTAAGGGGTTGGACTAGTTGACCTCCGAGGTCCCTTCCAATTCTATTATTCTATGTTCCAATACATAATTAAAAAATTCAAAAAGAGGCTTCTTTTCTGTATCGACAGCAAAATGAATCAGGATAGGTAGGTATGTTAAGGGAGTTGAGACAGGAAAATGTAATTATTCTGAATATAGATAAATGTCACGAGTTTTTCCTAATGGACTGATGGAGGCTTTGCCCGCTTTAGAAGAAACTCCATACAAATTTCATACAGCAATGGATTTAAACCATGATCTTTGCAGGTGGTTTTTTTTAATAATTTTTTATTAATAATACAAAATTAAAAACACATTGGACAGAGATATGACGTCACTGGTTCCATACATCTTCCAATATTTTACAATAGTATTAGTACTCATATAGACATATAGTTCTTGAACTTTGCTCATTATTTATAATATACTGTTCACACTTTTTCCCTTATTTCTATATATCTATTTATCTTTTAAATATACATTTGTCTATAATCTATATTTTATTCTAGCACTATACATTTATCTTGGCTACCCTCTTATTGTCTATCCAATCATAAAATTGTTCACAGATTTTATAATACTTGGTTTCACTTTTGTCCTTGAGTTCCCATGTAAGTCTATCCATTTCAGTGCAACTGAAAATTTTCAATAATATTTCCTCTTTGCAGGTGTTTAATGACATCTACTTAATCAGACAAGTACAAGAATGGTGGAATATATATTATAAAGTATAAAGTTGAACATGAATGAATTCTCTGGAGCAAATGATTAAAGCAGCAGCGAGATAGAAATTGCTGTCATTGATGTTAGGATTAATTGTGACCACATTTTAATTCCTCCTGTTGTAGAGTTATTACGATAATGGTTGTAATTATATTTCAGACGATCTTTGTGTATTATGTGGGATGTGTTTGTAAATAAATGACAGCTGATTCATTCAACATGACCATTATCAGAGATTTTCTTTTCAGTAAGAAGAAAACACCCAAGTTTTCAAAATAAGGAACCTAACAAACTGGGAAATGGCTTTCCAAGTCAGATCATTGATTAGAAGGAGCGGTAAAACTCCTTTGAAGTCAGTTCAGCCAGTCACGTCCTGGACAGCTCCCTAAAGTCTTTGGAGCAGGGGTTCTCAACCTTGGCAACTTTAAGACTTGTGGACTTCAACTCCCAGAATTCCTCAGCCAGCTTTGCTGGCTGAGGAATTCTGGGAGTTGAAGTCCACAAGTCTTAAAGTTGCTAAGGTTGAGAACCCCTGCTTTGGAGCAATGTGGAAGTAGCCAGCCATTCCTTCGGAGGCTTTTTTTTTTCCTTGCCAATTTCACAGCGTGTCTTTCTAGTACCATGGGTTTTTTTTTAAAAAAAAAAACTTGGCCACTTTAAGGCAGGTGGACTTCAACCCCCATGCTGGCCGGGGAATTCTGGGTGTTGAAGTCCACGAGTCATAAAAGAGCCAAGGTTGCCTACCTCTGCCCTTTACCATTTCAGACAGGTGGCTATCCAGTCGCTTCTTAAAAACGTCCAGTGATGCACCCACAACCTCTGAAGGCAAGCTATTCCATTGGTTAATTGTTCTCTCTGTTAGGAAGTTTCTCCTTAATTCCAGGTTACTTCTCTCCTTGATTAGTTTCCATCCATTGTTGCTTGTCTTGCCCTCAGGTGCCTTGGAGAATAAGTCGACCCCCTCCTCCTTGTGGCAGCCTCTCAAATACAGGAATCCTGCTATCATGTCCCCCCTAGTCCTTCTTTTCTCTAGACTATCCATACCCAATTCCTGCAACTGTTCTTCATATGTTTTTGTCTCCAGGACTTCAATCATCCTAATTGCTCTTCTGTGCACTTTCCCCCAAAATCTCAACATCTTTTTAATAATGTGACCAAAACTGGACGCAGTATTCCAGGTGTGGTCTTACTAAGGTTTTATAAAGTGGTACTAATATTCATAGTTATATATCTTTCATATCTCTTATACCAGCGGTTCTCAACCTGTGGGTCGCGACCCCATTTGGGGTCGAACAACCATTTCACGGGGGTCGCCAAACAACGCAGTCCGCCATTTTTTCCCCCTTTTTCTTAGCTGTGCTACTCCCTTTTATTCTATTGGCTTTCAAAAGCCAGTAGGAATTGTCCAGGCTGTCTCTGCCCTGCTGAGCCCGCCAAAAGTCCCAGTCTGCAAACGGTGCTGCAAGTTGTCGCAGTGAAGGTGAGCTGTCTGAAAGTTTCCACCCCTCCCTGCTGAGCAACTACTACAAATGTAAGTAAAAGAGGGCCAGGGGTGAGACGTGGGAGGCTGGCGGGCGCAGGGAGGGTTGCTGGCGCGGGTGAGGCCTGGCGGGTGCCTTACCTCCCTTGGGCTGGGCCAGCTGGTGGCCCAGCCGGTGGTCGGCCTGCTCCGTCTCTGCCGCTTGCCAGCTACGCCTCGGCCGGTGCAGGGGGCGGCACCACGCACGTGTGGGGCTCCCAGGCAGGGAAAGTCTTTGACTTATGACCGGTTGGGTAGTCCTCGACTTACAACCGGTTGGGTAGTCCTTGACTTACGACTGGTTGGAGGTCGCTGCATTAAAAAGGTTGAGAACCACTATCTTATACTCAAAAACAGTAACTGTGAGAGGGACCTTGGAGTCCTAGTGGACGATCATTTAAACATGAGTCAGCAGTGTGTGGCAGCAGCCAAAAAAGCTAATACAATCCTTGGTTGTATAAACAGAAGAATAGACTCAAAATCATGTGAATTATTAGTACTGCTTTATAAAGCCTTAGTAAGACCACACCTGGAATACTGCATCCAGTTTTGATCACAATATTATAAATTCAATTTATTCTCCAAGGCACCCAAGAGCAGGACAAGAAACAATGGATGGAAACTAATCAAGCAGAGAAGCAACCTGGAATTAAGGAGAAACTTCCTAACAGTGAGGACAATTAAGCAGTGGAACAACTCTGCTTTCAGACTTTGTGCCTGCTTCATCACTGGAGGTTTTTAAGAAGAGACTGGACAGCCACTTGTCTGAAATGTATAGGTCTGGACTAGAAGACCTCCAAGGGTTGTTGTTGTTGTTGTTGTTGTTGTTTCTTCTTCTTCTTCTTCTTCTTCTTCTTCTTCTTCTTCTTCTTCTTCTTCTTCTTCTTCTTCTTCTTCTTCTTCTTCTTCTTATTCTTCTTCTTCTTCTTCTTATTCTTCTTATTCTTCTTCTTCTTCTTCTTCTTCTTCTTCTTCTTCTTCTTCTTCTTCTTCTTCTTCTTCTTCTTCTTCTTCTTCTTCTTCTTCTTCTTCTTCTTCTTCCATATCAGTTATCAGACGTTGGTCATCATGTTGGCTATCCTGTTATCAGCAGCCGCACAAAAAAGTGCTGCTGAGTTTTGTCCAAACCAGTCCCTTAGATTTTCAAGCCATGATGTTCTTCTGCCTGGACCTGTTTGCCTTCCATTTTTCCCTGGAGGATTAAATGGAGTATGCCGTATTTTTCTGGGTGTCGCATCACATGTCCGAAATATTCTAATTTTCGTTTTTTAATTGTTTTGATGATTTCCTTGGCTTTCCCTGGCAGCTTATCACCTCCTCATTTCTGATCTTGTCAACCCAGCGTATAAACCAGGGATTGTGGGTTCGAGTCCTAACTGGGGTCCTGAACTCCATCCACTGCCTCTAGGTCAGTGGTTCTCAACCTGTGGGTCGGGACCCCAGTTGGGGTTGAACGACCATTTCACGGGGGTCGCCAAACAACGCAGTCCGCCATTTTTTTCCCCCTTTTCCTTAGCTGTGCTACTCCCTTTTATTCTATTGGCTTTTGAAAGCAATAGAATAGACTCTCTTGAATAGAGTCTAATTCTATTGGCTTTCAAAAGCCAATAGGAATTGTCCAGGCTGTCTCTGCCCTGCTGAGCCCGACAAAAGTCCCATTCTGCAAACGGTGCTATACCAGTTGAGTATCCTCGACTTACGACCGATTGAGTAGTCCTCGACTTACAACCAGTTCAGGGTCACGGCATTAAAAAGGTTGAGAACCATTGCTCTAGGTTTGAGAGGAGCTGGTAAAGATTCGCCTGTAAATCAAATGCTTCAGGTGGCCTTCTGTCTTCAGGTGGCCTTCTGTTGATAAACTCTCTACTCCATAGAGCAGAAAAAATATAGCCTCTGAAAGCCTGATTTTCAATCTTAGGCTAATATCGTGACAAAGGTCCCTACCAGCTCTATTTCTGATTCTGACATCCTCATATCTTTTCCCCTCCCCCTCAATCTGTGTAAATGTCCAAGCTTTCTTCTCTTCCTTTTCCCTCTCCTTCCCCCCCCTTTCTCCCCCATTCCACCCCAAATCTGCCTCTTGGCTTCTGAAGGGTTACACAGACCGTAGAAAGGGGATTCCTAGAGAGGAAGGAAGGAGATAGCAAAAATTGGGGAGGGGGGGCCCTCCGCGGCCAAGCCACCTCCCCATCCGGCCTGGCGAGCCTATCCCTGGCAGGAGCGCCGGAGGAGGGGGGGGGGAACCGCAAGCGAGGAAGGACAGATCGGATGCAAAAAAAGGGTGGGGCGAGGTGGGAGCCGGCTGGGGGCTGAGTTTGAGTCTGGGGTGCCCCCGCCCTCCTGCTCAAGCGTCTCCCCTGGTCTTTGTTTCCCCGTCGGAAGGGTGGGGGCCGGTGAGTCCGGAGCTTCAGCTTTGCATTTGGGAGGAGGGGGGGAGGCTGGATCGAGCTGCAGAAGCAGGGCGGGGGGGGGGAGACCAGGCGGGGGTCCCTCTGTGCCTGGAGAGACAATGCAAGGAGGCCTGGTGATGGGGGGGGGGCGGGCACGGGGTGGGGAGAGGGGAAAACAGCAGGTGAGAAAATCCCGTGCCCTCCCCCAAAGACCCCCCCCCCCAAAAAAAATCTCTGCTCCCTTTTGCATGCAATTTCTCCCTCCGAGGTTGTTATTTTGGCGCGCCTGCTACAGCTGCATTTCCCAGCCTCGCTCTCCCCCCCCCCCCCGCCAGACTCCCTCCGTCTCTTGGGATGGGAAAGGGAGAAGCGGAGCCCCGAAGGGAGGCGTGGCTTTTTATATAGCTGGTTCCACCCCCCCCCCCCGATCGGGGGTCTCGAAAGAGCGCTGGGTGGGTGGGTGGGTGAGTGAGTCCAAAGGAGCCGTTTTGTAAACCGGATTGAGCTGGGGAAAAGTTAACGGGGCTTCGGGTTTTGGGTGGGTGCTTATCCATTGGGAGGTTGGAGGGGGTGGGATTGGAGGGGAGGGGGGGGGTTACATAAGGCCCCCTCCTCTAATTTACGCCATAGTAGTTACAGTCCTGGGAGGTGGAGAGGAACTGGCCCCAAACCACCTAAAGCAGTGTTTTTCAACCTGGACCACTTTAAAAGGGGTAGACTTCAACTCCCAGAATTCCTCAGCCAGCTTATTCTGGCTGGGGAATTCTGGGAATTGAAGTCCACAAATCTGAAAGTGGCCCAGGTTGAGAAACACTGACGAGTCAGGTCGCGCAGGTTGAGAAACACTGACCTTTAACACGGGCCATTTTAAGATGGGTGGACTTCAACTCCTAGAATTCCCCAGCCAGTTATGCTGGCTGGGGAATTCTGGGAATTGAAGTCCACTCATCTTTAAGTGGCCCGAGTTGAGAAACATGGACCTAGAGCAGTGTTTCCCAACCTTGACCATTTTAAGGCATGTGGACTTCAACTCCCAGAATTCCACAGCCAGCATTGCTGGCTGTGGAATTCTGGGAGTTGAAGTCCACATGCCTTAAAATTGTCAAGGTTGAGAAACACTGACCTAGAGTGTCTCTGTGGCTGAGAGGGGGCCAGACGCTGGGTCTCCCTGTTTAGAGTCGGACCACTTTGCCAATCCCCCACTCTGGCCTCTCAGATTTGACAGGGAGACCACCAGGGGATCCCAGCTCCGGCAACGACTTTTATCTTGAGAAGGAAAAAAAAAGACGAACCGTGAGGGAAGTTATTCTGGAACCATTTCTGCACAGTTGACAAAAGAATAGCATTGTGGTGCCCACAATGTCGCTTAGGCATCAAGCTGAACTGGAGGTCAGCTTTTTGCCTTTTCCTTTATTTTAAAGATTTCTGGCGAAAGGCTCAAAATTGGGAGGTTTTTTTTTTTTCTCCTTTCACTCTTATGGATGAAGGAATTTCCCCTCTCACACCGCTAAGAGTGAAGAAATCTAAGCTTTGATTGATATGAAGGAGAGATTTAAGTTCAGGTTTTTCTATCGGGTGGAGTCTAATGGGTGGAAAGCTTGCAACTAGCCTGAGCTGATCCGCTGAAATTATGTGAGGGTTGCTTGGTTGTGTGCAGATTTCCACACCCATATATGTGCATACTTTTCATTGGTTTCCTTTCAAAAGAAATATTTCCCAGGACAGGTAGCTTTCGACTTAACAATCACAATTTAGCCCCCACATTTCTGTCCTTAAGCGAGACATTTGTTCAGTGAGTTTTGCTCCATTTTACCACCTTTCTCGCCATAGTTGTTAAGTGAATCATTGCACTTGTTAAATTAATAACAGTTGTTAAGTGAATCTGGGCCTCCCCATTGACTTTGCTTGTCAGAAGGTCGCAAAAAGTGATCGCGTGACCCCGGGACACTGCAGCCGTCATAAGTGTGGGTCAGTTGCCAAGGGTCTGACTTTGATCGTGTGACCATGGGGATGCTGCAAAATTTGTAACTGAAAAAACGGTCATGCACCACATTTTTCAGTGCCGTTGTAACTTTGAACGGTCACTAAATGAACTGTTGTAAGTCAAGGATTGCCGGCAGAGAGCAAGTATAACATAAAATGACAATTTTTCTAAAGTTGAAGGGCTTAGTGCAGGGGTAGGCAACCTTGGCTCTTTTATGACTCATGGACTTCAACTCCCAGAATTCCTGAGCCAGCCATGCTGAGGGGAAAGGGAGAGGTTTCCAAGCTGAGCCATGGCTGGCTCAGGAATTCTGGGGGTTGAAGTCCACGAGTCATAAAAGAGCCATGGTTGCCTACCCCTGGCTTAGTGCAAGATATTTTTAAACCTATCAAAAAAACTAAAAATACTGTAAGATGCTGATTAGGAGCAGAAGTCAAAATAAACAAGAAAAATAATAAGGGAGCCCCTGTCCACTCAAATCACCAGGACCAGGTGCTTGACACCCCCAAATTCTGAAGAAAGTGGCTTTTCGTTAATTTTGTCACATTGTCGAAGAATGCAACAAGATTTATCTGGCATGATCTGTTTTTGACAAACCCATGTTGGCTTCTGGCTTTGTTTACCTCTGGGTGTTCGCAGATTAGTTGCTTGATTACATTTTCCAGAATCTTTCCAGGTATTGAGGTCAGGCTGATAGATCTGTAGTTTCCTGGATCTATTTTTTCCCCTTTTTTTGAACATGGGAACCACATCAGCTCTTTTCCAGTCATTTGGAAGTTCCCCCGTGCTCCAGGATCTTTGAAAAATATGTTTCAGTTATTCTGAGATCACGTCTGCCAGTTCCTTCAGAACCTTGGGGTGTAATCCCTCTGGTCCTGTTGATTTGAACTTGTCTAGGCTGGACAGGTGCTCATTTACCATATTCTTGCCTATCTTAACTTGTTTTTTCTGTTCTGTTTTTTATGGCACTATTTTTGATAGGTTGGTTTGTTTTTTCCCTTTGTGTAAAGACAGATGCAAAAAAACGTGTGTTAAATAGTTCTGCTTTCTCCCTGTTGCTTGTCACCTTCTTGCCACTTTCACCCACTGATGGACCATCTGGTCTTAGAAGTGATTTGAATTCACCTAGAGTTGAATAGGCGTTCTCTTACCATTTTCTTGCTTATTTTGACTTGTATTGCTAATTTGCATTTGCAGTATTATTATTTTGTTATAGGTTGGTCTGTTGTTGTTGTTTTTGTATAAAGACAGATGCAAAAAACAAGTTAAGCAGTTCTGCTTTCTCTCTGCTGCTCATCACTTTCTTGCCATTTTCTCCCATTAATGGACCAATCGTTTCCTTGATTTTTTTTCCTTCTTTTTTACATGTTGAAAGAAGGGGTTTTTGTTTGTTATTTTTGACTTTAGTTCATTTTGAGCCTTAAATTTTATGACTTCATCTTTGCAGGCTATCTGCTGATCTTCTGCCTTAGTTATGTGCTCTTCTTTCCACTTTTTATACTTGTCCTTTTTGTCGTTCAGTTTATCAGAGAGTTCTTTGTGCAGCCATGCTGGGGGTGGGGGTTTTCTTTGAGATCTCTTATTTTTCTTTCTTCACTGGAATTGTGCTAGACTGGGTTTTTATAATCTCACTTTTCAACTTTTCCCAAGCTTCTTGCGTTGTTTTCCCCCCTCAAGATTCTCATCTGTGGAATCCTTCCCAAGTTCTCTCTGGGTTTATTGAAATCAGATCCTTTAAAGTCCAAGACTGTAGTCTGACTGTTCTGTTGCTTGTTTGTGCATAATGTTGAATTCCAATATTGCATGGCCACTCTCCCCCACCCCAGGTTCCTGTAACTTCAATGCCTTCTATCATTTCATCTCTGTTAGTGAAAATTAATTCCAGTATGATTGACCCTCTAGTTCCCTTCTCTACTTTTTGGGAGATAAAATTGTCTGCTAGGTTTGTCAAGAATCTGTTTGATCTTCCACTTGGTGCAGAGTTTGTCTCCCAGTTGATGTCAGGGTAGTTGAAGTCCCCTATTACTATTATTATGTGCTTCCTACATACCTTAGTTAACTGACTAGCAAAAAGTTCATCTATTTTCTGTTTGGTTGGATGGCCTACAGCAGTGGTTCTCAACCTTTTTAATGCCGCGACCCCCAACCGGTCATAAGTCTAGGACTACTCACAGGTCGTAAGTTGAGGACTGCTCAACTGGTGCAGCACCGCTTGCAGAATGGGACTTTTGGTGGGCTCAGCAGGGCAGAGACAGCCTGGACAATTCCTATTGGCTTTTGAAAGCCAATAGAATTAGACTCTATTCAAGAGAGTCTATTCTGTTGGCTTTCAAAAGCCAATAGAATAAAAGGGAGTAGCACAGCTAAGGAAAAGGGGAAAAAAATGGCGGACTGTGTTGTTTGGTAACCCCCGTGCAATGGTCGTTCGATCCCAAATGGGGTCCCGACCCACAGGTTGAGAACCACTGGCCTACAGCAATGTCATTGTTTTTTTTTTTCTTTTGTATTTACCCAAATGCATTTAAGACAGTTTTCATCATTGTTCTACTGTATTTCTGTCGAGAGGTAGTTATTTCTTATATTAGGTCTGTTTCTTTTAAACAATTTAAATCCCTCTGGCTATATATTCCATTTATGGGTTTCATCCAACCAAGTTTCCTAATGGCAACAATATGGTATCTGCCCTCATGTGCTTGGATTTCTCATTCACCCTGTTTGTTCCTCATACTTTGTGTGTGGGTGTAAAGGCATTTCAGCCCTTTTTCACTGACTCTTCTTACTTGTCACCTATTTTGCACATACATTTGTATCTTAAAACAGTGGTTCCCAATCTTGCTGGCTTTGTGAACCAGAGGCAGTGGTGATGGGGAGAGGGGCTGGTTCCGTGCGAGTGGTGGGCGTGCGCAGCTCGATCTGCACAAGCGGCAGGCGTGCAGGTATGCCACTTGCACAAATGGAGCTTTGCGCGTGCACACGCCTGCTGCTCATGCAGGTGGAGCTGCACACTCACATGCGTGCTCGCCCTGTCAAGGTTCCGACTGATGATCCCAACAAAGTAAACACAGCTGATACATTCCAATCTCTAATGCAAAACTTTATTGAGCACAGCATATCGGTACTGATGAATAGAAAACCAGCTCTCGCTAAATTGGTGCCAAATCAGTATATTAAAAGTATAGAAACTCCCTTCCCCCCCCCCGAAAGCACAGGTCACATTACCCAATTAAGCTTCAGACAATTATTATGAGAAAGAATCTTCTGGTCTCGGAAAAACAAACCTTGAATGATCTTGGCTCTCAGGCTTAGCAGCTCCACAGCTGCACATTATATACACATTATATTCTTCCCCCATTCCCCTTGGGCCTGTGGGCAAGCCAAGAAACAGAACTTGCTGAAGCAGTATGAAGTTTCTTCAAGCTTGATATACCCACTGTTTGCATAGCCCGATTCCAAATGGGCCACAGGTTTAAGGACCCCTGCCTTAAAGTATGTACATACAGATATTTGTTCCTTAAAAGTGGAGCAGGAAAATGTGCCAAGAGTTGCATTTGAAGCGGGTGGGGATAGCTCTCAGAGGTACCTATCCTTGGATAGTTCCCCTTCCTTCATCCCCAGAGCCAGCGCAGGACAAGGGGGGTGTTGTGGTTCCGGCTAATGAAACATTCCAAAGAACTTCCAGGCATTTATTTTCCTAAAAGTCTTTTATTGTTACAAAATGTCAGCACAGGCACAACGGAGGGATGCTAGGATCTAAGTCAGTGGTTTTCAACCTTTCTAATGCCGCAACCCCATAATACAGTTCCCCATGTTGTGGTGACCCCCAACCACTTATACATCACCGGGTGCCAGGGGCGTGGCCAAAGAAAAGGGGGAAAAAATGGCGGACAGCCTGGTTTGGCGACCCCCATGAAATGGTCGTTCGACCCCAAATGGGGTCCCGACCCACAGGTTGAGAACCGCTGATCTAAGTTCTCTTCCTCTGAGCAGTTAAATTATCAGCATGTTCCTCCCTAAATTAGCAGTCATATCTCACATTATCCAATTAGTGTGAAGGTCAAATGTTTTCTTCCTCTTTCTTTCCTGGGCTTTACCCCCAACCCCCCCTTCTGCTCTGTATTAACCCCATAATTACCAGACAATTCTACATATTGTCAAAAGCAAGAATATACAATATTTGCAGCGTTGACGGGGAAAGGGGCAGACTAAGAATGGTGAAATGCAGGTTTTGGTCCCCTTTTAGTCATGAAAGGTCTTTAGGGGTCTGAAGCGGTCTTCTTTTAGTCAAGGTTACCTCTCAAAATTGTTGTAGAGCAGGGGTGTCAAAACTCAATTTTATTGAGGGCCGTATCAACATTGCGGTTGCCCTCAGGGGGCTAGGTGAGTGTGGCCAGGGTGGGTGCAGCCTACTGGGTAGGCATGGATGGAGTGGTTGTGGCCTACTGGGTGGGCATGGTTGTGAGTCAAGGCACTTACCTGACTAGAACCATTTTTTCTACTTTTTTTCTGGTGGTTGTTAAGTGAATCGTATAGTCTAATCTTCCAAATAGTTGTGGGGTTTTTTTTTTTGTTTTTTGGCCAGAAACTGGCAAAACATGTCATAAATCATGGTCAGGTGAGCATGGGAAACTGCATCTGGTCCTAAAGGTGAGCTGGTTGCCAAGCGTCCTGTGACTGCAGTGTGGAGGGACATTTTACACAACTCTTAACGCAGCTGTCGTAACTCCGAAGGTTCATAAAATGACCGGCCGTGATCCGAAGACTCCCCATATCTTAGAACAGGGGTGTCAAACTCAATTTCACTGAGGGCCGCATCAGCATTGCGGTTGCCCTGGGGGGGTGTGTGGCCAGAGTGGGTACAGCCTACTGGGAGGGCATGGCCAGTTCTACATCATTCGCATCACGGGTGCCTATGGGGGGCCTGGGCAGGAGTGGGACAGATCTGAGGGTCGCTGGCAGAAGGGGGTGGGACCGGGGCAAGTGCTAAGGCATGGTCCACTAGAGGTACTTCGCTGTTCCTCTCAGACCATGCAGGGGGGAGGCTTATGGAGCTAAGACTGAATGCGTTTCAGCATAGATGGCCACCACAGAATTGTCCATTGGCTCCCGGCCGGCCTGGGCCAGGGCCAAGGCAGCGGGGGCCGTTCCTTCACTGTTTCCAGGATGGCTTCGCGGGCCACGTGAAACCACTTTGCGGTTGCCCTGGGGGGTCGGGTGGGTGTGGCCAGAGTGGGTGCAGCCTACTGGGTGGGCATGGATGGAGTGCGTGTGGCCTACTAGGTGGGCATAACCAGTTCTACACCATTTGCGTCAAGGGTGCCTATGGGGGCCTGGGCAGGAGTGGGGCAGATCTCTGCCAGAAGGGGGTGGGACTGGGGCAAGTGCCAAGGCATGGTCCACCGGGGCAAGTGCCAAGATGGCTACCACAAAATTGTACATTGGCTCCTGGCTGGCCTGGGCCAGGGCCAAGGCAGCGGGGGCCGTTCCCTCACTGTTTCCAGGATGGCTTCGCGGGCCACATGAAACCACTTCGCGGGCCGCATCCGGCCCCCGGGCCTTGTGTTTGACATGTCTGTCATAGAGGTAAAATTGAGGTTCTGATTGCCCTTTCTCACTCTATGGTGGGGAAGATGTTAATCTGGGGGAGAGGGCGGGCAATCCAAGTTCCCCAGTAAGCCATAATGTGATTTCTGTCTTCAGGCAGGTCATATCGTGTGAATGCAGCGGTCGTCTTTTGCTAACTTGGGTTTCAGGGGGTTTTTTTGTTTTTTTTTTACCTGCAACATGTGAATCGGGTCTTGGTTTTTCGCTTGTCTGCAGGCAGAGGAGCTGGCAAACAGCGGCAATTGGGCTGCATAACAGTGTCCTCTGTCACCAGGGTCCATCAAAGCCCCCCTTTTTAAGGGCTTGGCAGGACTTGGCACCCCCCCCCTGCTGGTTGGGCCAATCTTTTGTTGGGAAGAGAAGGCATTGAGCCATGCCATCGGAAATGACCTTGCAGGACAGGCCGAACGTGGCCACGTCACAGGCTGAGCCGGATCACAGATTGGAGAAGAAATTGGAGGCCTCCCCCAAGGCCCAAAACACCCCTTGTCCTCTTCAGGGATCAAGCAGTGGAGAACCTGGTGAGACAGGGGTGCAGAGAGTCAAGAACATGCCTGGCTCCGACGTCCAGCGAGAACACTTCCGGCAGTTTGCCTATCAGGACGCCAAGGGTCCCCGCGAGCTTTGCAGCCAGCTCCACGATCTTTGCCACCAGTGGCTGAAGCCAGAGAAGCGTTCAAAGGCTGAGATGCTAGACCTGGTGATCCTCGAGCAGTTCCTGGCCGTCCTGCCCCCGGAGATGAAGAACTGGGTGCGGGAATGTAAGGCGGAGACCAGCTCCCAGGCGGTGGCCTTGGCCGAAGGCTTCTTGCTAAGCCAGGCGGAGGAGAAAAGGCAGCAGGTGAGAGCAGGGCCGGTATTCTCTGAGGGTAGCATGGAGGGAGGGAACTTAAATTTAACACTGAACTTCGAAGTATGTATGTTAAGAAGTTAAAAGAAAAAGACGTATTAGAACATTTTGATTTAAGAAATGTGATTAAAGAATAGAATAGAGTGGAGTAGAGTAGAGTAGAATTAGAGTAGAGTAGAGTAGAATAAGAGTAGAGTAGAGTAAAACAGAACAACAGAACAGAATATGGAAAATAGAGTAGAATAGAATAGAATAGAATAGAATAGAATACAAATAGAGTAGAACAGAATACAAATAGAGTAGAATAAAGTAGAATAGAATTAATAGAATAGAATAGAACAAAACAGAATATGGAAAATAGAATAGAGTAGAATAGAATACAAATAGAGTAGAGTAGAATAGAATTAATAGAATAGAACAGAACAGAATATGGAAATAGAATAGAATACAAATAGTGTAGAATAGAATACAAATAGAGTAGAATAAGAGAGTAGAGTAGAATAGAATTAATAGAATAGAACAGAACAGAATATGGAAATAGAATAGAATAGAATAGAATACAAATAGAGTAGAATAGAATAGAATACAAATAGAATAGAATACAAATAGAATAGAATAGAATAGAATAGAATAGAATACAAATAGAGTAGAGTAGAATAGAATGAATAGAATAGAATAAGGAATAGAATAGAGTAGAATAGAATAGAATAGAATAGAATAGAATAGAATAGAATAGAATTCTTTATTGGCCATGTGTGATTGGACAAGAAATTTGTCTCCAGTGCATAAGCTCTCAGTGTACATAAAAGCAATAAGTGGTAAATCATGATCATAGTCATCGTAAAAATACATTCATCGTAAATCATAAGCTTAGCATTTTAAAAAAAGATGAAAAAAAAAGATTACTTTTCCGTGTAAGGTCAAAGAATCTGAAAGAATACAGCGAACCTTGTTAATACAAATGGTGATAGCTTATAAAGATTACTAGCTGCAAATAGAAATGCATATTATTACCACAGCAAGGAAGATAAAAGCAGAAATAGTTAAATTGATTGTTTTATTCAAAGAGGATAATATACTTCACTACGATGTTCATTTGGATATCACTTCTGCATTTTGTGCTTGTAATAAAACAAAAATGAAACTTTGACTTTGTCTTTGACGATTAGACAGACTTGTTGTTACAGAAATGACTAGTTATATACTAATGTCTAAAAGCAAACGTTGAGGCTGGAGTGTTTCTATCTTGTACTGTGCCTGGAACCTCACATTTTCTTTCCCCCCTTTATTTTTCCTTCCCCTAATTTCCCATTTCTGTTTCTCTTTCTATTTTATATATAGATAAAACAATAGAAGCCATGTATATCAAGAGAACAGGGCCGTGAGATGGTTCGCTTGAGCATCCCTCAGCCACTTTCTGCTCATTGCAATTTGTACAGAAAGTCAATTTCTGTCACTTAAGCGAGACAGTTAAGTGAATATTACCCCATTTTATGACCTTTCTTGCCACTGTCAGTAAGTGAATCCCTGCCGTTGCTAAGTTAGTCACACGGTTGTTAAGTGAATCCGGTTTCCCCATTGACTTTGCTTGTCAGAAAGTCGCAAAAGAGGATCACATGACCCCGGGACACTGCAACCGTCATAAATATGAGTCAGTTGCCAAGCATCTGAATTTTGATCACGTGTCCATGGGGGGGGGGGGGAATGCTGCAACAGTCGTGAGTATGAAAACTGGTCACAAGTCACTTTTTTTAATGCTGTTGTAACTTCAAATGGTCACTAAATGAACCGTTGTAAGTTGAGGACTACTACTCATCTCATTTTGTTAGTTTACTATTTATTTCTGTATTTATAGTCCTAGGAGGCTGGCGGCCCATTTAATCTATTGTTTATTTTTATCACCCAGAGCAGGGGTAGGCCACTTCGGCTCTTTTATGACTCATGGACTTCAACTCCCAGAATTCCTGAGCCAGCCATGCTGAGGGGAAAGGGAGAGGTTTCCAAGCTGAGCCATGCTGACTCAGGAATTCTGGGAGTTGAAGTCCACGAGTCATGAGGGGGCCATAGTTCCCCCATGCTGGCTCAGGAATTCTGGGAGTTGAAGTCCACGAGTCATGAGGGGGCCATAGTTCCCCCATGCTGGCTCAGGAATTCTGGGAGTTGAAGTCCACGAGTCATGAGGGGGCCATAGTTCCCCCATGCTGGCTCAGGAATTCTGGGAGTTGAAGTCCACGAGTCATGAGGGGGCCATAGTTCTCCCATGCTGGCTCAGGAATTCTGGGAGTTGAAGTCCACGAGTCATAAAAGAGCCGAGGTTGCCTACCCCTGACCCAGAGTCTTCCTTTCTGCTCATTTATCAGTGAAAATTGAAATTATAGGTCCGTCGTGGCGAACCTGTGCCACGGGTGCCAGAGGCGGCACTCAGAGCCCTCTCTGTGGGCACGGGTGCCATCGCCCCAGTCCTAGGCCTTCAGCTGGGTTTTATAAAACCTTTTCGTTTTAGGCCTCCACCGCTGTGTGCAAAAAAAAAAAAAAAAGGTTCAATCAATCAATCAATTTCCTCACGGGGAAAAAAAGGATCTCGCAAAGTTGGATTGATTGGTTGAACTTTTTAGTCCCCCCCAGTCTGCCGTTACCACCGCAGCCATGCCTATCCACTGGGCCACGCCCACCTAATTGGCCACACTCACCCAATGGGCCATGCCCACCCGGCACCCAACGATACATAAGTGGGTTTTGGGTTGCAGTTTGGGCACTCGGTCTCTAAAAGGTTCGCCATCCCTGTTATAGGTAGTCGTCCACTTACAGACCATAATGGAGCTGGTTTCCAGCAAAAATGTTGCAAATTAAGGTAAACAAGACTGGGGAACTTTTGTAAACGGCCATGAATGTAGTCTAGTTGCTAAGTGTCCCAAATACGATCACGTGACCACAGTGGGGAGGCTGGATGTTGGAGTCCGAGTTGTAAGTAGCTTTTACGGAGTCCATTGTAATTTTGAACGGTTGCTAATTGGATGGTCGTAAGTCAAGGACTAGCCTGTACTCCATCCTTAAAAAATTGTCTTCCTAAGGAAGAAAAAATCATTCTCATTATAATGGGCGATCGTTTGACTATGAGCCAGCAATGTGCAGCGGCAGCCAAAAGAGCTAATATAATCCTGGGTCGCATAAACAGAGGCATAGAATCAAGATCACAAGAAGTATTAGTATCGTTTTATAAAACCCTAGTAAGACCACCCCTGGAATACTGCAGGCAATTTTGGTCACCATACTACAAAAAAGATGCTGAGATCTTGAAAAACGTTCAGAGAAGAGCAACTAAGATGATCCAAGGCCTGGAGACTAAAACATATGAAGAAAGGCTGCAGGACTTGGGTTCGGCTAGTCTAAAGAAAAGAAGAAATAGAGGTGACATGATAGCTGTATTCCAGTATTTGAGAGGCTTCCACAAAGAAAAGGGGGTCAAATTTTTCTCCAAAGCACCAGAGGGCAGGACAAGAAACAATGGTTGGAAACTGATCAAAGAAAGAAGCAACCTGGAATTAAGGAGAAACTTCCTAACAGTGAGGACAATTAAGCAGTGGACCAGCTTGCCTCCAGAAATCGCGGGCGCTCCATCACTGGAGATTTGTAAGAAGAGACTGGACAGTCACTTGTCTGAGATGGTATAGGTTCTCCTGCTTGAGCAGGGGCTGGACTGGAGGACCTCCAAGGTCTCTTCCAGCTTTATTATTCTATTCTATTCTATTCTATTCCTATTTTATCCCTGTTCTATTCTATTCTATTCTATTCTATTCCTATTTCATCCCTGTTCTATTCTATTCTATTCTATTCTATTCCTATTTTATCCCTGTTCTATTCTATTCTATTCTATTCTATTCTATTCCTATTTTATCCCTGTTCTATTCTATTCTATTCCTATTTCATCCCTGTTCTATTCTATTCTATTTCTATTTTATCCCTGTTCTATTCTATTCTATTCTATTCTATTCTATTCCTATTTCATCCCTGTTCTATTCTATTCTATTCTATTCTATTCCTATTTCATCCCTGTTCTATTCTATTCTATTCTATTCTATTCTATTCTATTCCTATTTTATCCCTGTTCTATTCTATTCTATTCCTATTTTATCCCTGTTCTATTCTATTCTATTCTATTCCTATTTCATCCCTGTTCTATTCTATTCTATTCCTATTTCATCCCTGTTCTATTCTATTCTATTCTATTCCTATTTTATCCCTGTTCTATTCTATTCTATTCCTATTTTATCCCTGTTCTATTCTATTCTATTCCTATTTCATCCCTGTTCTATTCTATTCTATTCTATTCCTATTTCATCCCTATTCTATTCTATTCTATTCTATTCTATTTTATTCTATTATTGTCAGGGACCAATATAGCCCTTTCCTAGGTTTTTACCTGCTCTGACTTTAGGAAAACACAAACACCACACAACACTTGCAAGAACACTAGCTGGCGTTTTTCTGCCTGCAATCTTACCTCTGTTAAAAACTGTCATGTTGGGGGTCCAGGAACCAAATTCCCTTGCCCATATGATTACAGGTAGTCCTTGACTTACGACTATTTGTTTATGACTGTTTGAAGTTACCACAGCACTGGAAAAACTTACGACCGTTTTTCACACCTACACCCGTTGCAGCATCCCCATGATCAAAATGTGGTTTTGGCAACTGACTCATATTTATGACGGTTTCAGTGTCCCGGGGTCACGGGATCCCTTTTGGCCACCTTCGGACCAGCAAAGTCCATGGGGAAGCCAGATTCACTTAACAACCTCATGACTAACTTAACCCTTCACCACCGTGGCAAGAAAAGTCATAAAATGGAGCAAAACTCACTTAGCAACTGTCTTGCTTAGCGTCAGAAATTTTGGGCTCAATTTTGTTGCTAAGTTGAGGACTGCCTGCATACAAGTTACAATATTAATGGTTAATATTCATCCAGACTCCCCCCCTCTCCTTTTCTGCTATTTCTTTTTCGTCTTTCTCTTTGCTCATTGGGGTTTATTGTTTTCTTTTTCCGTTGGAGGACCGAGTTGTGACGGAACCCACCAATCCTCCCAGGGTAGGAAAAAACCCACCCAGGCCTCATCCAAAGCCCCCCTTAAGGCGGATCAAGCAAGAAGTGGACAAGGTAGCCATTACGTTAGGTAAGTGCTTGGAGGCTATTTTTCGGTGTTGCCTTTTGATGGTAGGCATAACTAAAATATACCGACTCTAGTTTTGAGTCAAGGCAAACGTAAACCTGGGTTAGGCAACTCTTTGGAATTTGGGGCCCATTTTGTGAGGGCTGTCACTAAAAGGCTGTTGTGGTAAGGCAGTCGGAATCATAAAAAGCTATCAGGGCAAATGCAGCCGATCACGGAATGCCGTTTTCCCAGACAGAAAACATGGATGACGAGGAATTAAATGTATTTTGTCGGGTTGGCTTAGATTGGTGTGTTTCAAGCTTGACGACTTGTAAGAGGAACGGACTTCAACTCCCAGAATTCCCCAGTCAGCATAGAATGATGAATCCAGAATGCTGGTTGGCAAACACTAGGAGTGTCCACTCCTCTTTAAAGTTGCCAAGGTTGAAAAAACACTACAGGTAATCCTCAACTTAACAACAGTTCATCTAGAGCAGACGTGTCAAATACAAGGCCCGGGGGCCGGATGCGGCCCGCGAAGTGGTTTCATGTGGCCCGTGAAGCCATCCTGGAAACAGTGAGGGAACGGCCCCCGCTGCCTTGGCCCTGGCCCAGGCCAGCCGGCCGGGAGCCAATGTACAATTTTGTGGTGGCCATCTATGCTGAAACGCATTCAGTCTTAGCTCCACAAGGCTGTCTAGAAACAGTGAGGAACCAGCCCCTGCTGTGTAGGCCCCGCCCCCTGGGTGCATGCTGGAGAGGTGTCACTCTTTGTGAGGAATGAAGAAATGCACCATCGCTTGGAAGTGGCCAGCAAATGGCCCTCGCCTACTTCACATATCCGGCTTGGTGGGCTCTGCCCTGGTCCCTCCCCTTTCTGACAGAGACCCTCAGATCTGTCCCACTCCTACCCAGGCCCCCACAGGCACCCTTGACGCGAATGATGTAGAGTTGGCCACACCACACCCACTCCATCCACGCCCACCCTGGCCACACCCACCCGGCCCCACCGAGGGCAGCTGACGTGGCCCTCAATGAAATTGAGTTTGACACCCCTGATCTAGAGGCCGTTCAAAGTTACACCAACACTGAAAAAAGTGACCTACGACACTTAACAGTCGCGTTACTAACTTAAGAACTGCAGGGATTCGCTTAACAGCTCTCCCACTTAGAAATAGAAATGTTGGGGTCAGTGGTGGTCATAAGTCAGAGTCTACCTGCGCTTTTAAATCTTTGCAGGTTTTGGCCCTTCAAACCCCTCGAAACAAAAGACATAAATGGGGGGGGGGGGTTTAAAACATGTTTGCCCAATTATGGAACCTTTGGAGAACCCTGGATTCTCATATTGTGGGGAGAGGCCGTGTGGGAGAGAAGGGGCTGGACTAGAGGTAGGGAGAATCAAGTCCTGGTCCCCTTAAACAGCAGAAGCTCTCCGTGGAACCTAAACTATCCCTCTCTCGGATCCTCAGGGTGGGGTATGGGTGAAGATACTGGACCAGGATTGTTCTGTCCCAGCCTATGTGAATCCTTGTTAAGCTCACAAGGAGAAACCCCTCTCCCAAACAAGCAGGCTGGAACCGTAGGGAAAAAAACCAATCCCCTTTTATTGTTCACAGACCTAAGTCAGTGTCCAAGGCAAGCGAACACAGTCCACAGAAACTGGATCCTCAGCACGAACGGTTGCCTTCGACAACCAGCACCTCCCACATCTTCCCTTTTATTATGCAGCCAAGGCGTGGCTTTCTAATGCCTTCTCCTTTGCCTTTGGAGCCGCCCCATTGCATCCCTCTGTCCTACTCTCTTTTCTTGCCGGCGTTTTCGTGCATCCTGGATATCTCCCAGCTGTGATTCATCACTGTCCCAACTCAGACTCCCAGCACAGCTGTGTCTCAGCCTGAGCGCGAGTAGAGGGGCCAGGCTCCTAGTCCGACTGTAAGTCTTGGAGCTCCTCAGAGCCTTCGTCTGACTCTGATGTCACTCCAGACCCCTCCTCTGATTCCTCAGACTCATCTGCCGGGTCCACTGGCTGACGAGAAATCACCACAAGGATAGAGGAAACCAGATTCTTGAACCCCGTCAGATACAGAAGCTTTCTAGGGCAAACTGGGATGGTGTCAACCTCCAGCTCAAATATCCAAATGAAAAAGTCCAGGATTATTTTCGTGTTTGAAAAGCTTACTGATTTGTTAAATATATGGCATGGTATAGGCCAGTGGTGGCGAACCTTTTAGAGACCGAGTGCCCAAACTGCAACTCAAAACCCAGTTATGCATCGCCAGGTGCCGGGTGGGCGTGGCCACCGAGTGGGCGTGGCCACCGAGCTGTCAGCTTGTGCTCGCTCACTCGCTCGCTGTCCACTCTGACTCATGCTCGCTCTCAAGCTGTCTGCAGCAAAAGTTGCTTCCGCAGAAAGTTGCTCCTTTTATAGCAGGAGTGTCAAACTCAATTTCACTGAGGGCTGCATCAGCATTGCAGTTGCCCGGGGGGGGGGGGTAAGTGTGGCCAGAGTGGGTGCAGACTACTGGGTGGGCATGGATGGAGTGGGTGTGGCCTATTGGGTGGGTGTGACCAGTTCTACATCATTCACGTCAAGGGTGCCTATGGGGGGGCTGGGCAGGAGTGGGACAGATCTGAGGGTCTCTGGCAGAAGGGGGTAAGACTGGGGCAAGTGCCAAGGCATGGTCCACTGGGGCAAGTGCCAAGATGGCTACCACAAAATTGTACATTGGCTCCCGGCTGGTCTGGGCCACGGCCAAGGCAGAGGGGGCCGTTCCCTCACTGTTTCCAGGATGGCTTCGCGGGCCACATGAAACCACTTCGCGGGCCGCATCCGGCCCCCGGGCCTTGTGTTTGACATGTCTGTCATAGAGGTAAAATTGAGGTTCTGATTGCCCTTTCTCACTCTATGGTGGGGAAGATGTTAATCTGGGGGAGAGGGCGGGCAATCCAAGTTCCCCAGTAAGCCATAATGTGATTTCTGTCTTCAGGCAGGTCATATCGTGTGAATGCAGCGGTCGTCTTTTGCTAACTTGGGTTTCAGGGGGTTTTTTTGTTTTTTTTTTACCTGCAACATGTGAATCGGGTCTTGGTTTTTCGCTTGTCTGCAGGCAGAGGAGCTGGCAAACAGCGGCAATTGGGCTGCATAACAGTGTCCTCTGTCACCAGGGTCCATCAAAGCCCCCCTTTTTAAGGGCTTGGCAGGACTTGGCACCCCCCCCCTGCTGGTTGGGCCAATCTTTTGTTGGGAAGAGAAGGCATTGAGCCATGCCATCGGAAATGACCTTGCAGGACAGGCCGAACGTGGCCACGTCACAGGCTGAGCCGGATCACATTACCCCCTCTGGCAGAAGGGGGTAAGACTGGGGCAAGTGCCAAGGCATGGTCCACTGGGGCAAGTGCCAAGATGGCTACCACAAAATTGTACATTGGCTCCCGGCTGGTCTGGGCCACGGCCAAGGCAGAGGGGGCCGTTCCCTCACTATTTCCAGGATGGCTTCGCGGGCCCCGTGAAACCACTTCGCGGGCCGCATACGGCCCCTGGTCCTTGTTTGACATGTTTGACATGTCTGTTTTTTAGCCTCTTGCCTATTCCCAGACTGCGCATGCGCGGAGAAGAGGAAGGAGCAGCTCGGCCCAGCAATGGCTCGTGTGCCACCAGAGACACCTCCATATGCTGCCTGTGGCACGCGTGCCATAGGTTCGCCACCATGTCTGACAGGAGAAAAGTTCTTCTGAATCCAAGCGTCAACGCTGCTAAGATTGGATGTTCTTACTCTGACAAAATATGAAGAGGCAGCCACTCTCTGTATAAGCCTAACCCTAACCTAACTCTAACCCTAAATTAGATGATGCTGGGAGGGGAGGAGAAAGAATGTGTGTGCGGATTAGTTAAGATAAGAAACCTTGGGCTACAGAAGGGAAGGGAAACTAACTCTAAAGTCCCAAGGCATCAAACCATAGCATATAACAATCACATCCCCAGCCAAACAACCCCTCCCCCCGATAGCCATGTAGCTCATGTAAACAAATTCTTTGTCATGAGAACCGTCTGCTATCTTCTTCACACCCTCTAGAATGTCCTTGAAAGGTTTCCAGTCAGCCACCTTTCAGCAAACTTCACACATCCACACTTTCTACCTGCATTGCAGAACCTGAGTTTGCCTTCCACATCCCAGATGTCAATCATCCTTGCATCTTCTTCTCTCTCTCTCCCAGGGGGTGAACCACAACTGGCCACTGGATGTAACCTCCCTTCTGCACAGCTGGATCAGGTAAGGGAATAATTCTCTCGGAAAGATAACTTGGGCCTCATCTCCTTGGTGTCAAAGTTCCGACTAACGAAACGCTTCAAAGAACTGTCAGGCATTGTTTATCCTAAAAAGTCTTTATTTGTGGAACAAAGTGTCAGCACAGCATTCTTCTTCTTCTTGTGCCATATCCGTTATCGGACGCTGGCGATCCTGTTTTTATCAGCAGCCGCACAAAAAAGTGCTGCTGAATTTTGTCCAAACCAGTCCCTTAGATTTTGAAGCCACGATGTTCTTCTTCTGCCTGGACCTCGTTTGCCTTCCATCTTTCCCTGGTGGATTAAATGGAGTATGCTGTATTTTTCTGAGTGTCCCATGTCCGAAATATTCTAATTTTTGTTTTTTTAATTGTTTTGATGATTTCCCTTGGCTTTCCCAGGTGGCTTATCACCTCCTCATTTCTGATCTTGTCAACCCAGCTTATACATAACAGCCGCCTGTAAATCCACATTTCAAATGCTTCTAGTCTCTTCAGGTGGCCTTCTCTCAGAGACCAACTCTCTAGATCAGTGGTTCTCAACCTGTGGGTCGGGACCCCATTTGGGGTCGAACGACCATTTCACGGGGGTCGCCAAACAACGCAGTTCCCATTTTTTTCCCCCTTTTCCTTAGCTGTGCTACTCCCTTTTATTCTATTGGCTTTTGAAAGCCAATAGAATAGACTCTCTGAATAGAGTCTAATTCTATTGGCTTTCAAAAGCCAATAGGAATTGTCCAGGCTGTCTCTGCCCTGCTGAGCCCGCCAAAAGTCCCATTCTGCAAACAGTGCTGCACCAGTTGAGTAGTCCTCGACTTATGACCGGTTGGGGGTCGCGGCATTAAAAAGGTTGAGAACCACTGGTATAGGGTTTCCTGCCTGAGCAGGGGGTTGGACTAGATGACCTCCAAGAAGGGGCAAAATTCACTTAGCCACTGTCTTGCCTAGCCACAGAAAGCTTGATTGTGGTCATAAGTTGAGGACTACCTGTATATCCCTAAAGAACCCTTTCCCAAGGACCAGGCTGTCTCCTGTTCAGTCCCACTGGATCCTCAAGATCACCCATTGGACTTTGCTAAGCAATGGGCTGCCTTAAATGTAAGAAGCTGATCTTTGCTGCTTTTTTAGGTGATGCTTGAGGAAGTCTCTGTGACTTTCACCGAGGAGGAGTGGGCGCTGCTGGATCCAGACCAAAGAGCCCTGCACAGGGATGTGATGGCAGAGAACAGTGGCATTGCCTCCTCTTTGGGTAAGTTTCCACTTAGAGGAAAGAAAAAGGGCAGGGAACAATATAGTTTAAAGAAAGAAAAATAAGGTGGATAGGATAGGATAGGATAGGATAGGATAGGACAGGACAGGACAGGACAGGACAGGACAGGACAGGACAGGACAGGATAGGATAGGATAGGATAGGATAGGAGATGGGATGAAATAGGAATAGAATAGGATTGGATTGGATTGGATTAGTTTAGATTAGATTGTAGAGCCAGACAGACAGATAGATACGATTTGATTAGATTAGACTACATTGTAGACACACACACACACACACACACACACACACACACACACACATACATACATGTGTGAGAGAGAGAGAGATTAGATTAGATTAGATTAGGATAGAGAGAGATTAGAAGGTAGGTAGGTAGGTAGATAGATAGATGATTAAATTAGATTAATTAGATTAGAATGTAGACACACACACATATATAGAGAGAGATTAGATTAGGAGACAGACAGACAGACAGACAGACAGATAGAGTAAGGTTAGGTTAGGTTAGAATGTAGACAGATACACACACACACACAGAGAGAGAGAGAGAGAGAGAGAGATTAGGAGATAGGTATGTAGGTAGGTAGGTACTGTATATGCCGGCGTATAAGACGACTTCTGGAAGCGCTAAACTCGGCGCCAAAGACGGGGGTCGTCTTATACGCCGAGTCGTCTTATACGCTGGAAATACTGGTAGTTTCCGGCGTATAAGACGACATTCTAGGAATGCGGCTCGGCGACAAGGACGGGGGTCGTCTTATATGCTGGGTCGCCTAATACGCTGGCATATACGGTAGGTAGGTAGGTAGGTTGAATGAATGAATGAATGAAAAATGCAGAATGTCAGGCTTCATTTCATAATTCACCAAAAGTCTTTTCCTTTCTCCGTCCTCCCAGGAAGTGACTGGCCAGAGAGTGAAAATGGAGAAATCTGTGAGCTATTGTTCGGAAAAATTGGAAGCGAAAAGGAAGACAAGCAGAGGCTAGAAACTGAAGCCGGCAGAGTGAAGGATGAATCTCCGAGTTCTTACAACACCGAATTCTACGAGCTTCCGGTCCGTGAAAAAATAGAGGACGGGATCGAATGGAGCCAGTGCCTTCTGTGCGGCAAAGCCTTTGACTGCCAGTCGAGCCTGATCACCCACTGGGAGAGCCACACCACCAAGAAGCCCTACAAATGCCTGGAGTGCGGGAAGAGCTTCAGCACCAGGCAGTACCTGGGCTGCCACCAGCGCGTTCACACCGGGGAGAAGCCCTTCAAGTGCGCCAAGTGCGGAAAGAGCTTCAGCACGAGGCAATACCTGGCGTGTCACCAGAGGATCCACACCGGGGAGAAGCCCTTTAAGTGTCTGGAGTGTGGGGAGACCTTCTGCTGGGCCAATTCCCTGACCTTGCACCAGATCGTCCACACGGGGGAGAAGCCGTTCAAATGCCTGGTGTGCGGGAAAAGCTTCAGCAGGAGCACCAGCCTTTCCTCCCATCAGAGGATCCACACAGGGGAGAAGCCGTACAAATGCGTAGAATGCGGGAAGAGGTTCATCCACAACACCAGCCTCACTTACCACCGGCAGCACCACACCGGCGTGAAGCCCTACAAGTGTCCGGAGTGCGGCAAGAGGTTTAGTCACCGGACGAGCCTGACTTACCACCAGCGGAGTCACACTGGCGTGAAGCCGCACAGCTGCTCGGAGTGCGGGAAGAATTTCAGTACCCGCCAATACCTCATGTCCCACCAGAGGATCCACACGGGGGAGAAACCGTACAAGTGCGCCGAGTGCGGGAAGCGCTTCGTCCACAGCACCAGCCTCAGCTACCACCAGCGCCTTCACCGAGGGGAGGAGCCCTTTCAGTGTTTGGACTGTGGGAAAGGCTTCATTACGCGCCAGTGCCTGACGTCGCATCGCAGAATCCACACGGGGGAGGAGCCCTTCAAATGCCTGGAGTGCGGGAAAACCTTCCGAAGACGCACGAGCCTGATTTCCCACCAGAGTATCCACCTGGGGGAGAAGCCGTACAAATGCCTGGAGTGTGGGAAGAGCTTCACGACGAGCAAGTACATCCTGTCCCATCAGAGGATCCACACCGGAGAGAAACCTTACAAATGTTTAGAGTGCGGACAGACCTTCTGTTGGGCTAATTCCCTCACCTTGCACCAGATCACGCACACGGGAGAGAAACCCTTCAAATGCGTGGAGTGCGGGAAAAGTTTCAGCCGAGGCACCAGCCTCACCTCGCACCAGAGGATCCACACCGGCGAGAAGCCGTACAAGTGCTTAGTGTGCGGAAAGAACTTCAGCACGAACAGGTACCTGACCTGCCACCAGCGCATCCACATTGTGGATAAAGCTTATAAATGCCTGGTGTGCGGGAAGAGCTTTAGCACCAGCAAATACCTCAGCTGCCATCAAAGAATTCACACCGGAGAGAAGCCATTTAAATGCCTGGAATGTGGAAAGTGCTTCTGTTGGGCCTATTCCCTTACTTTACATCAAAGAATCCATGCTGGTGAAGATGGGTTTAAGTGCTAGGAGTATGAAAATTACTCTTTTTTTTTTTTTTTTGTGAGGGACGGGCAGAAGGACAAAGAAGCCCTGATCGTGGAAGGATTTCAGAAAAAAAACGATAGAAATCACTGTGGAAAGAGATTTGTGTAGAACACGGACTCCTTTTGCATTAGATATTAGAATACTGTCTGTGCGTGGGGGTTTTTGGGGGGTGTTGGCCCATTGTGGTTGTCCAATGTTTCCGACGGCGGCTTCTTTTGCCAGCCCTGCTTTGAGGGACTGGGAACTGGATTTGAATCTTCAGCTCACGCCATCGTCGGACCTTCATTTGAATTCTTGGAGTGAGAAGGAAAGAGCGCCGTTCCGCGCAACGATCTCACTTCTCAATGAGAACCAGGGACGCGAGAGGATCTGTAGAAATGCCTGGAGCTTTGCAGAGGCCTTTCAGTTGGAGAGGAAGATTCAAGGATCCCCTATGGTAGATTCGCTGGGAATAGGCTAGGAATTTAGGATGCTCATCCAGAGCGTATCAAGAGCCCTTGGGAGTGCCTACAAAATTGAGCTTCTAAAGCTCTAGTGATCTAAGGGTAGCTCGTTCTAATCGAAGTTCTCTGATCGGTTCCTGTAAGACAGGGATCACCGGCCCTTTCTGATCCCTGGCCACCAAGTCTCCCTCAGCCTCCTAGCCAGAATACTCGACTCTCCACATTTTTGCCCCGAGAGTCATAAGCGCCACCAAATCTTCCAGAAACAGGGTTTGAGAAGAAGATACAGCTTCCAGGAGAATCAAGCAGAATCAGTGTGCGGTGTGCTTTCTCCGGCAAATGCAACAATATTCGAGATTGCTGGAGTGGGGGGAGGGGGAAGAGAATTTTGTGGGTGCTCCCAATCCATTTACTGCAGTGGTTCTCGACCTTTTTAATGCCGCGACCCCCAACCGGTCGTAAGTTGAGGACTACTCAACCGGTCGTAAGTCGAGGACTACTCAACTGGTGCAGCACCATTTGCAGAATGGGACTTTTGGCAGGCTCAGCAGGGCAGAGACAGCCTGGACAATTCCTATTGGCTTTTGAAAGCCAATAGAATTAGACTCTATTCAAGAGAGTCTATTCTATTGGCTTTCAAAAGCCAATAGAATAAAAGGGAGTAGCACAGCTAAGGAAAAGGGGGAAAAAATGGCGGACTGCGTTGTTTGGCGACCCCCGTGAAATGGTCGTTTGACCCCAAATGGGGTCCCGACCCACAGGTTGAGAACCACTGATTTATTGGGTTTTTCTTATTAGGGTTATATCCCGCCTTTCATCCTGGAGCCTCCCTGCTGGGATGTCTCTTCATTTTATCTCCCCAGCAAAATCCCCACAAGGTAACCAGCTCCAAATCAACCAGGAGGTGTCCATGATGGAAGGTGAATTTGAACTCAGATCTTTCCCTCCTGATCTAATCCCCAAAATTGCTCTATAGTCATAGGAATCCACAGAGGGGAGGAACACCTAGTATAAACAACCCTGACATACTTGTTTGTGGCATCGGCATGCAGGTGCCCAAGGAACTGTTCTTTGGTGTGATGTCATAGCTCAATACCACCTCAGCCGCCCCCCTTGCGGGCTAAGACATAGCCGGCAAGGGGCAACGGCAGGCAGGCCCGGGTGCTCCCTGACGGCCGTGGCAGCAGCGGCGGCGCAGGGCGACCACCGGCTGGGCCACCAACTGGCCCAGCCCAAGGCAGGTAAGGCACCTGCTGGGCCCCACGCGCGCCAGCAACCCTCCCTGCGCCCACCGGCCTCCCACCCCCAGCCCTCTTTTACTTACTTTTTAGTTGCTCAGCAGGGAGGGAAGCTCTGCAGACTGTTCCCCTTGCAGCACCATTTGCAGACTGGGGCTTTTGGCAGGCTCAGCAGGGCAGAGACAGCCCTGGACAATTCCTATTGGCTTTTAAAAGCCAATAGAATTAGACTCTGTTCAAGAGAGTGTATTCTATTGGCTTTTGAAAGCCAATAAAATAAGAGGGAGTAGTAGAGCTAAGGAAAAGGGGGGAAAATGGCGGATCGCGTTGTTTGGCGACCCCCATGAAATGGTCGTTGGACCCCAAATGGGGTCGTGACCCACAGGTTGAGAACCGCTGACCTAGATGGTTTCTGTGATGGAAGGTAGATTTGAAGTCTGATCTTTCCCGCAGACTCTAATCCCAGAATTGCCAGTCAGGCCTTCTTTGGAAGTGATAGCAATAGCACTTAGACTTAAAGCACGCTTCACGGTGCTTTACAGCCCTCTGTGAGTGGTTTACAGAGTCAGCCTATTGCCCCCAACAATCCGGGTCCTCATTTTACCCACCTCGGAAGGATGGAAGGCTGAGTCAGCTTGGAGCCCATGAGAATCGAACTGCCAAACTGCAGACAGCCGGCAGTCAACAGAAGTAGCCTGCAGTACTGCATTCTAACCACTGCGCCATTACGGCACATCCTCGGACTGATGTTTTGCAACGGGGGGCCCCCAATGCATTGCGACCTTTCCAAAATGTGACTGCTAGACCCTGAAAGATTGGCAGTCCTTGATTTAGCCTCTCTGGATCTAGTAATTCACTTCCTCTTCCTCCAGGCTGACTTTGAAAACATTTGGGAACTGCAGTTGCCAAACCAATGACTCGAGCAGGCAGAATGGACCATCCTTTCTGATTTTTCTCCCATCTGGGTGTTTTCCACCACCCCTCATTCTAGGCTGCCTTCTGTGTGGGGACCTCGGTCATTAACACCACAGATAGTTACCCCTTTGCTGCTGTGAGACGTTGAGGTCATAGGTGGATCTAAGCAGCAGGGCCTTTTTGGTGGTGGTAGCGAGACAAAGAGTCTGCCTGAATGACGGAAGTTGCACCGTTTGAGAAACTGCAGAAAGGAGCTTTTTCCTGTGGGTCGTTTCCACCGCGTGGCAGTTTTTCTTTGGGCCATGCTGCAATGCTACTTCTCTGGTTTCAACTCTGATCCATTGTAGGGATGTGCAAAATGTTCGGTGCACAAACCACCTCGTAGGTGGAGGAGCTCTTTTTAAGTGGGCTGTGCCTCAATCAAAATGCAGCTGTTTGAGGTGTGTTGATCTGTGCACATGTGATGGAATGTAGTCCAGGGTCGCAGGAGGGGAGGAGTTCTTTCACAGAGAGTAAAGAGTCAAAAGTCAATGATACGGAGGAAGAGGTTTAACACGGAGCACCCCCTAGCACAGAAGTGGGGGACTATGGCCCCTTTATGACTTGTGGACTTCAACTCCCAGAATTCCTGAGTCAGCATGGGTGGCTCAGGAATTCTGGGAGTTGAAGTCCACAAGTCATAAAAGGGCCATCGTTCCCCATGCTGGCTCAGGAATTCTGGGAGTTGAAGTCCACAAGTTATAAAGGGATCATTATTCCCCATGCTGGCTCAGGAATTCTGGGGGTTGAAGTCCACAAGTCATAAAAGGTCCTTTGCTCCCCGAGCTGGCTCAGGAATTCTGGGAGTTGAAGTCCACAAGTTATAAAGGGATCATCGTTTCCCATGCTGGCTCAGGAATTCTGGGAGTTGAAGTCCACAAGTTATAAAAGGTCCATCGTTTCCCAACCCTATCCTAGCCATTTGCAGGGTAGATTGAACACTTATGCAGATAAGTGTTGTTGTTGTTGATGTTAACCTTGGAGTTAATAAGGTCCTTGGAGTTAATAAAGTGGATTAACTCCAAGGTTAACATCAGACCAACAATCAAGTAAGCAAGACCCTAATCAAGAAACTGCCCCAAAAGCCAACAGCAAACAGCTGAAACAAAGCATTTCTAAGCCCACCCCCATCAACACTGACCAGAATATAAAGCTTGATAGCAAACTGCACTCCTTACTAGCACTGATGATCCAAAGGTGCTTTTTCAAGTGGCAACTGGACTTTCTTGTTTTTCTTTGAAGATGTTTCGCTTGTCATCCAAGAAGCTTCTTCAGCTCCGACTGGATGGTGGGGAATGGAAGGATTTATACTCCTTGCAGACAGCTGGTCATTTGCCTTCTTTTAGAGCAGTGGTTCTCAATCTTTTTAATCCCGCGACCCCAACCGGTCATAAGTCGAGGACTACCCAACCGGTCGTAAGTCGAGGACTACTCAACCGGTCGTAAGTCGAGGACTACCCAACCAGTCGTAAGTCGAGGACTTTCCTTGCCAGGGAGCGCCACGCATGCACGATGCCGCCCCCTGTGCCGGCCAAGGTGTAGCTGGCAAGCAGCAGAGACGGCACAGGCTGACCACTGGCTGGGCCACCAGCTGGCCCAGCCCAAGGGAGGTAAGGCACCCGCCGGGCCCCACGCGTGCCAGCAACCCTCCCTGCGCCCGCCGGCCTCCCACCTCTGGCCCTCTTTTACTTACAGTTTTAGTAGTTGCTCAGCAGGGAGGGGTGGAAACTTCCAGACAGCTCGCTTTCGCTGCAGACAACTTGCAGCACCGTTTGCAGAATGGGAGTTTTGGTGGGCTCAGCAGGGCAGAGACAGCCTGGACAATTCCTATTGGCTTTTGAAAGCCAATAGAATTAGACTCTATTCAAGAGAATCTATTATATTGGCTTCCAAAAGCCAATAGAATAAAAGGGAGGAGCACAGCTAAGGAAAAGGGGGAAAAAATGGCGGACTGCGTTATTTGGCGACCCCCGTGAAATGGTCGTTCGACCCCAAATGGAGTCCTGACCCACAGGTTGAGAATCACTGTTTCAGAGAGTCACGTTGAGGCCACTTGGAGGTTCATCTGTGTCCTCAGGGTCACCTGAGTGGTGCAAATAGGTCTGGAGCCTTGGGACTGCTGAAAGGACTGTGTTGTGGAGCTATGCTTTCTGCAGGTTGTTTTTCTGCCCCGTGTCCCTTTACTGTTGAAGACAGGCTGTTGGGGATGAATCTGTGTTATCTGCCTCTCAAAGTGAAGCACAAATGGTTCCTGTAGTCCGCAGTGTTTCCTGGAAATCTGTTCATACTCCCGCACCATTCGAATGGTGTTCATCCCAAAGTGCATAGCTAAATGACCAGCCGTCTGCCAGGAGTATAAATCCTGCCATTCCCCACCATCCAGTCAGAGCTGAAGAAGCTTCTTGGATGAGAAGCGAAACGTCTTCAAAGAAAAACAAGAAAGTCCAGCTGCCACTTGAAAAAGCACCTTTGGGACAACCACGACCCGGATGACTGAAAATCTTCATAGAATTTTAGCACTGATGATGTTAGCCAGTTTGGGTAATGAAACATCTGCAAGAAAACAAGCTCGGAGAGCACCAAGGACCCCATATGTTGTCTCTTTGCTCTTTATGAAAGAGCCCTTCTGTACTACATTTCACCACACCTGGAACAAAACAGGACCATTTTGTCCCTCCTGAACAGAATTGGTCCAGATGGAAGTGGTTGAATGGGGAGGAGGATGACAGCCTGGGGAGGTGAAAGAAAAAAGCAGGATGGACAGTGGGATGCATCACCTGAGGACATCAGTGGCAAGGAAGGAAAGACGATGTAGGGTGGAACTGGTGGGATACGTCATGCAGAGAAGGAACGAACTGCATCAGACATGCCAGCTTGTCCTTATCCGGATTTTACTTTGCCCTAAACCAAACAACCGAAGCACTTAAAGAGTTTGTTAACTACTGGACCGTGACTGAGTTTGGCAGAACTTCTGAAACGTGTCCGGTTCTAGGTTTGAAACAAACTGTTGATTCTGTCCTATGTTGTTGATGAACTTTGGATAGATGTGTAAAAAGGTGGTTGAATGGAAAAAGTAGAATAGTAAACCCTGTGTAAAGCAACTTCTTCCCCATCGGAGGAATCCACTCAGGTGAGGCACTGTGAATTGGAGACGAGAGGTGTTAAATCGGTTAGAACAGGGGTCCCCAACCCCCGGACTGCAGCCCACTACCAGGCTGTGCAAGCGCCAGGCGAGCGTGCACACGTGCAGTTCTGCTTGTGCAAATGGAGTTGCGCACGCTCATGCGTGTGCCTGCCGCTCGCATAAAACTATCCCCTCTTCCCTCCGTTGGTCCGTCAAGC